TGTCTCCATCCGCAACGTGGACAGTGTCCTGTGTCGCATAGTTCCACAGGCTCATGTTTGCTGGAGTATTTTGGCAACGTCTTGGGTTGCATTGAGGTGGAACTTAAGAAGAGCAGGCTCATTTGTAGTTGTAATTAAGGTGGGGGTTTGTTCCCAACCTAGGTCTAGCTGCTTGGTGTTTTCCCATGTTAAGAATTGTATTGAACTCCTCTGTCTACAGTGTCATCAGGTATTGCTCTGAGATGTGGGATACTGTTCTTTCAGTTTTTTCTTTTCACTGGATACATCTCTTGGATCCCAAGCCCATCTGCCTTGCACTGTTTACCACTACTACTCTTGAAGTAGAGATCTCTTTCTTAGGCACTCCGTCTTTAGTGTAACCCACCGGATGCTCCTTCTTGGTTATTGGCCTGTGTCGGTAGGGACTCTTAACTTTAGGAACATCTTGCTGTAGCTCTTAAATGTACGAAGCTCTTCACACTCTCTCGCGCTAACCACTCGGCTCCTCTGGACCTTGGTAGTAAGCTCCAACGTAGGCTCATTTTAAGATCATCCAAAGCAATCCTTATTTCTGTAAAGCACACTGACAGTATTGTATTTGTTACACCTTCCATTTTTCAGATACTTCGTACATATTGCTCAAGATCTTTGACAATAACCGGGGATTGTATATCATAGGTCCCAGGAGGCTTGTGGTTAGCAGGTTGTTGTAAATCCGCATTTATCACTCAGAGAGCTTCCGGCAGCGATACGCAGCTCTCCTGCCTGAAAAGTGTAATCAGTTTGTTTCTATAGCTGATGGTTATCTTGGAGCCCGATCCCATATATCCAATGGCAAGAAAACTTCATCGGTGTAATTTCCAATAAAACTGGATTTGAGCCTCCATTATGGAAAATTTCAGGGGCATAGGACACATACTTCTCTATATCCTTCATCCCAGGGTATACGCATTTACTCGGCTTGGCTTTCATTTACTTTACCAAGTAAGAATCTTTTCTTCACAATTATTAGCTTCTTCTCTTTTCCGCCTGGGAGACATCAGTGTTTGGTCGGCGCAAAAGCACGACTTGACGTGTCTAGAAATAAAGACGGCTTGTAACCCAAGTTCGTTTGTTTTTCAGGAGATCAATAGTAGGTTGAAACTATAAGAACGTACAACGATAGAGGGGTCCGCCTGGAAAAGACTAACATTAAAAGAAACCCAGTTTTGTTTTCCAGTTTTGTCACACTTCAACAATCAGTCATCATAGTATTAAACATATATTTATGAGCAAGGTTTGGGAACTTATAATGTCTTAGAGCATATATTATTCAAGTTGTGGGGAACGGCGTAGGCGTTATAGGTCCACCAAACTGCAAAGATCTGTGTCTATTAGAATTTGGCATCCTTCAAACTCTTCAAATCAGAGCCTGGTTATGCTCGAGCTAACGGTGTCTTACGCAGGAATTTCTGATAGACGTGTCTATGTGGCTATTAATGACCATTACTCTAGATTCTGTCCGCTAGTATTCCCAGCTGAAATTTCCACTCATGTTTGTTGTTGTGATGTTTTGAAAACTTACTAGGGTCATCTAAATCTCGTTTGCTATCAGGATGGCTTACTACTCGCCATTGCAGCGGGACTCTTGGCTTTCATAGAGAATCAGCAAATTTGAATATGCTTGCCATTCTGGGACATCTCTTATTACCAGATATGGGACTCATTCGGAAGTGATGATTTTTTCTTCGGCTTTCAGATTCGTTTGAAACTCATCCAGTCCCTCTTCTATCTCAAATGCAGTCTTTGGTAGGGCAATCGGGCAGTCCTTTAAGCTTTACCATATAGGAGCACTTATCCTTATCACAGTATCATTCTTAAATGATTCTGTCAGGGCCACCTTCCTTGGTGAATTAGGGGGTTGTTCTCTTATCCCCGTCAAGAGTTTCTTACAAATTGAAATGGGTTTTGTTTTAAACTGTGATGTTCCTTTGCTCTCCTTTTTCTTCTTTTCCTGAGCTCATTAGAAGGATTCTTTATTGTTATGTAAGCGCACGAGGTTCAGGTACTCAGTCTCTAGCTTGTTCCAACATATTAAGATCATTGCTTATCACTAGCATATTCTTGTTTCTCTTTAGCCCCCTTTTCTTTTATTTCCTTTGGGGGCCAAGCGAATAACTTTTGTCTCCTTGTATCTCCTTTTCCTTCTGGGAACTCGAGGTTCTTCGCTTCTCTAGAATTACTTTCCAGATAGCTGTATACCAGGCTTTCTACCTTTCCAGATCGGGACTCAGTCTCTGATGATACATTGTTCACCAAAAACATCAGGGTCTTCATAATTCCTTCCATACTCCCTTCTCGGCTGCTGATGGTAGTTTAAGTTTCTTGTGACCTCATCACTATGCAGGCGGTTCTAAGTCTTAAACTTGAACTGTATATCAGAGCTTGAGGTCCCGTTTCTGCGCTTGGTTGTAACTGGCTTGTTCCTGCTTCCGAAAATCATTACGGATGTTTCCCCGGCCGTGATGCTCGTTTATGAGCTCCGGGTCTCATCTTACATCTCCAGTTGTTTTGCGATTGTTTGAACTCGCGCGTGCACATTGAAAATATTGTGTCCTTTCTCAAAGAGTGCCGCGAGAGTGCCGGACAGTGCCAATTTCAGTTATATTTTCCAGAACCCTCTCAATTATCGCATCCATATTATTGTACGGTTAAAATTTCTCATGGTCAATTTCTTATTTCAGTAAAGGCTTATAGCTGAGAAGAGAGCTGTAATTCAGCAAAAATGTTAATTTGATCCGTAGAAGACAATTTTATAGATGTGGAAAATCTGGTAAGCTTAAGTATTCAGCTACCGTGGCTATTGGATGTGGTAGCAATGGGATTTAGTGTATGAAGTCAGATTTGAAAAGTATCGGTGGTATAAAAGATGATTCCTAAAGAAAAACTTGTAAAGGCATTACTATATGTTTGCTTGGAGAGGGATGATCAATGAGGCTTAAATCTAAGGGAGAATGTAATACAATGTCATACGGTACTATCTTTGGATAATGATGAATCGGCCTAATATTCTTGGCTCTTGAACTGTGTAAGGGAATAAGCAGAATACATTGAATTGGCAAAACCAGAAAAAATTACTTTCGGGAGAAGGGCGAAATATCAGGCAGAAGCACTTGCTGAATGGAATTCTTGATGGACTTACACTATTTACATGGGGTGGTATATTCCGGTGATATGAAGCTAGAATCTCCTTCAGTTCAATAAAAGTAATCAAGGCGTGGTATTGGACAAAAATTATGTATAATGCTTTTATTCGGATTTCGGACTGAGTCTTATATTGTACTGGGAGTGCAAGCAAAACTGTCATAGGTGAATTAATCGGAACTGATGGCTGGAGACTAAAGAGTTGTCGTAAAATCTTAAAACAGTTTTCATATACAAAATATATGTGGAGAGGGGACCATTCTGAGCTGAAGGAAACATCACCAATTTGTCTCTTGTAGAAGATAAAAAATAAAGGGCACAAAAAACATGTTGATATCTTTCGTTCGGATGATTATACACTATGTGATGAGCGAAAAGAAGAATCAGAACGAGTCTGGTTTGGTAATATGCATCCATTTGGTGAAGATAAACTCGAACAGTGTGCATTAAAATGGGAATGGAGTGTCTATTATCCAAATACATCTAAAAAGACCGATTGTAGATGAAATTTGGCTGATATGCTGATAAGTCTTTGCATTGAACGAAGATTATCAATGGATCCTGTACAAATGAAATAAAGAAACACCCTTTCTTTGGGAAGCAGTTTAAAAGTTATTCGGTTCATTGAAAGTTGCACATAAAAATAAAAAAAAAAAATGAAGTGAAGCATTTTCTTTCAAAGGAGATTTACGCGCTTGCTGAATGTTAATGGAAAAAATTTCATCCGACCCTCACGGAGAAAAGATTATGAGTGCTGTTAAGTATTGGCAAAGTAAAGAACAGAAGGTCGATCCTAACAAAACATGTTTTACTCGATGCTTTCTCTAAAAATAAGGAAACATCAAGCAACGCACTATCCTGTATATAAAGAAGATTACGGGTATGGATTTATTAGTGAATAGGTGATGGGCAATGAAGACGATTTTCACGCGATCTTCCTCCAAAGTATTGCACAAATTCTAACGGTTGGTTGTATTAAGTGCTTTACAAGAGTCTACAAAATGAGAGGGGGTTACGAAGATTATTTTGACGTTATGAGGAGTCATCCTTATTGACATCCGCGAAAAAAAAATTACGGAGTACATCGGCAAAATATGTTATACCTGGACGATAAGAAAAGATCTCGAAGAGATCAATAGTTGTGAATGAAAAGATCCACGAAGCAGATCACATAGTAGTGAATGGATATTATGGAGAGGAATGGACAAAATAGCAAAAGCCCCTGTCTTTAAGCTTATAACCTGTTTTTCTCCAATCAGTTTAACTATAAATAATTACTTACTATTAAGTTTCCTTTAACTCGGTAAAATATGTTTTACCCTGGACATGATAATCCAGGCAAAGATACCCGGAAAAGAGGTACAGATGAAGATACATAGTAGTGAATGGAGAATTTAGCAAAAATAGTTGGCATATAAACTGTTTTGTCCCATCAGTTTAACATTTCCCCTAATTTAAGTTTCCTTTAAACAATAGATCTATTAGATTAATCAGATTATCAATGACTTGTTGTGATAGGATGGATGTATCTTGGGATATTAAAGTTGTATAGTTAGTTAATTCTTTAAAAATTACATATCTATTTAATTTCACGTTCAAGATGAGTGTGAACTAAACAGATGCATGATGAATAGTTGTTTACGTTTGACCACTATAATTGTGTGTGAGCATGTGTCAAAGTTGTCACCAGATTAAATTGAGCTTGGCAAGATCATGATGTTCCAGATTATGTGCATTATATTATCATATTTTGGATTATTGTTATTTATTTTAGTGAATTTTAATAATTTGTTTGTTCTTTAAAATATGCTAAAAATTTATGGCAACCCGAGAGAAGTTGAGGAGGAGCACTCTGTACAGATACTCAAAATCTGACTTCTGGAAAGAATAACATCAGCAACACTACACCCGATCAGATCAACACAAGCTATGGACACAGTGCCAGGCAGACACAATTTCTTGTAAAGCTTGCACACCAATTCACAAGAGCACCGCGGACAGGCTACATTCTTACTAGAGTTGGGAGCAACAACAAGTTCAACCTGTGTTTTACATCTTAGACACTGTACAAGAAAGAGGATTTGTTGAGGGACCAGACCGTGACTTGTGCCGTGAAGGTTGATGTCTATAAGCCGTATTGAAGTTCCAACTTCCTTGTCAAGGAATTCTCCACTTTGATCTGGCACTGGTGCAGAAACATCGGCTCTAGTTTCATCCTCTTCGATACTGCCATCTGAGCCAGAGTCACTCCATTCTATCTCTCCTTTTTTGTAAACTTTTAGAGAGGAATGAGTGTGAAATTGAGATTCTGGTTGCAGCATATCTTTAATGTTTCGTTCAATCCATCGCAACATTGGACGCAGGCATGGTGAACCCTCACGCATTGCCAATTCTTCCTTTATCGCAGTGTTGATGGACTCTGCTGTTGACTCACTGATTCGTTCATCACAGAACTCAATGCTACAACTTGCAGTGGGATATTCAAGTGGAACAAAAACATCAAGATTTATTTCAAGTATGGTAAGATTCCAGTCTGGGTCTGTTGGTTTCATAACTATCTGCAGCATGGCACCATAATCATTTTTCAGTACCTGACATTTGCCTCTATACAATCTCTCTATCTGTTGTATCTCACGAACGTATTCATCTCCACGCAGTTCATTGTAAACATTGGCAACATTTGTCTCAGACCTTGGCAAAGTTTGCAGCCTAGATGACATGGTAGATTCTTCAGAGATATCATCTGGTGTAGCCCTTGTTTCATGTTTATATCTTGAGTTATCAGATTGTCCAAGAAATGAACTAAATGTTAGTGATGGTGGATTTCCCGTTTTTTGTGTAAAACTAACATATTGGGAAGAAGAAATGGTAGATGTGTCAGAGGGTGTTGGTGTTGGTAGATCATACATGTCTTTCTCCCCAAGCTTCAGCATCATTTCCATTTGAAGTTTTAGCTTGTCAATTTCTTTCATCTGTATATTGATAATGCCAATCCCATTGTCGAACATTTCAAGCAACTCAGTGTCTTCCTTAAAAGCATGGGCCATTTTGCACCCACCTTTGCATCCTGAAATTGTGAAATTCAATGTATTCAGGATACAAAATATTGCTTAAAAGATCATCCAGAAAGACAGCAGGGCGGGGCGGGGAACATTGAACTGCGAGGAAATTTAAAACATTCTGGATGTGAGAAAAAGATACTGACTATCATTATACAATGTATGTAACAAGTTGCTGCACTTTCTTACTTACTTGCGATCATCTTGTTCTAAAATAAATGTGTAAGAAATCTTACCTTCCTTTGATGTGAAGAGAGGACATATTCTGGAGGATGTGTTATCATTTTTGGTAGTTATCTTGTTCCTCTTTATATGCTTGTAACGGCAGCTGTCTCCAAACCTACACCTCCCATCCTTCTTGAACATGTAACATTCTCTGACCATGATCAATGCCTACAAAATTATAAGCATTTTATTGAAATGAATGAAGAGTAAACAATTATATTAGCTTAAAGAATAATGATTGGACTTCAAGTAGCGAGGTGTTTCGATTTTGCAACATTTCGATTTTTAAAGTACTGCTGTGTGCCAAAAATGACATCATCACCCACAGCCCACCAGTAATCTATATATATAATCTCAATAAATCTATGTGTGTGTGTGTGTGTGTGTGTGTGTGTTTGTAATTTACGAACAACTCAATCAAGAAAACAGTTAATCTGAGTTATGGGACTAGTTTTTTTCGGTATATTTCCAGCACAACTCTGATGAAGCCCAACAGCTTAAGTTTTCTTAAATTAGCTGGTGGTAAGTGGTTTAATTGATGGTTTTGTACCACAAATGTGACATAAAATGGCTCACTTTTTCTCCCGCTTCTCCTTGCTCTCTCCCCTATTACTGCAGCGTTGGTACATAAATCATAATTGGGTTATTTGGTAGTGGATCAGCCGCAAGATTCCCCAAGATTCCCTGTTATGTAATACTATAAGCTTATTAGGGGGCACTCGGAATAAAATTGCAGTCTGTTTGGACTGAGAGAGTTCATACTTTTGCACCAAATTACGACAATGTAATGCGTGTTTTCGAATATAATATGCGGGTTTATACTTTTGCATTTCAACTGCGAAAGTGAAGTCCTGGCCGTAGGCACGGGTTAGTCACACTAGTAAATCATAATAATTCTGTGATAAACATGAATGATACTCTCTGTTCACTCTTCAGCATAAGCCTACCTATTTAAATCTTAATATACATTATTTCAGAGTTCATTTTATGTCTAGGGGGCACAACAAAAGGATAGCATTCGGATGATGTGCCTAATAAAGGTAGCCGTCAGTCTGAAAACGAAAGAGATAAATACTTTGGTTCAAAGACAAAAAAAAAGAAAAAAAAGGGGGGACGGCCCCCAACCCATGTAGCTGAGACACCTCACAGCAAGTAGACCAAAGTGGCTCTTGCTTGTGATCGGTGCATCAACTACCCGCCGAAGCGGTGGGTTGGGAGCCCCCCCCCCCCTGGGATCATTTTGTCCGTCAAATTGTATACAATATAAAATAGTACAGTAAAATATCTACAAAATTTACATAAAATGACAACTGATCTCGACTCTTAAGATAGACCAGCACAATTGGTCGCTAGTGGATTGCTCTTGCAGAGAACAGTCAGAGCTGTAAGAGATCACTCAAAGCTCGTGGATGCAGCAAATTAATGCTCATCTATTACACTCGAAGGAATCAGAGGTCTCCCTATAAAATCCGAGACTGAGCATATGTTACCCTTTCAGACCAGAGCTCAAAACAGCCAAGAATAGGTATGATAAAAATAAAGTATCCAAATAATATACTTTACATACCTTAGTTCCCAAAAATTTGTGCGCCATTATATTGAGCACAATTTATTTGAGCCCGAAAAATTTGGGCAGAAAATTTGAACTCATTTGGGCGACCGAAAATTTGGGCACAAATTCTTCGAAAAATGAACGATTTTCCACTAAAATTTCAGTTAAATATTTGCCTTAGTTCATTATTATTCCTTATTATTCCAGTCATTTTGCTTTCAATCCTTTTTAATTGGTCAAGCCATGAATGACAGATTAGAAAACTAAAATTTTAAATATTATTTCACTTGGATATGAAAAAAAGCCATCTTTCTATAGATTTCAGGGTTAACGGGTGATACTCGTAAAATATCTGTTCCATATACTCGGCGCGCGTCCTGGTAGGTTGTAAACCTACAATTTCAGGGCCAAATGCCAAAAGTTTGGTTAGCAAAAAATTTAGCAGACGGAAAAGATTTATGCTATAAATTTGGTCTGCAAAAAATTTGGGCGAGAGGCCCGCTCAAATTTTTTGTCGCCCAAATTTTTGGGAATTAAGGTAACATGAAGACTTTGTTATTAATTGTATGAAAAGTATTAATACTTAGTTGACGATGTCAATTCTTCGCAGCTCGGCGAGTAGTAGAGGCTCTTACGGGCATTGTCTGCTCGATACGTTAGGGACCCCAGATACACCTTACTAGACGTATTTTTGACCGTAGAATCGATTGAAAGTGGTTTCAAGATGATTGGACTGATTGTTCTGGGGTAAAATCGCAAAAAACCGATTTTTGGGCCAAAAATAGGCCAAAAAAACCATGTTTTTTGATATTTTGAGCAAGTTAATTTTGTTGGCATGTCGGCAAAACTTGCATAAAGATAGCTAAAAGACAGCCGCACAAGATTGTATAAAAATAAAACAAATCCCTCTATTTGTTCTGAGGTAAAAATCCAAAAAAGTGGTAAAAATTTTGACTTTTTTGCTTGAAGTTTGAATAATTTTTTGCAGTTGTATTAAATCAACCCAAAAATAGTCACATCGTGTTTGCCTAAATTTTTCTTTTCCGAGAAGTACCCACTTCATATACTTAATCGAAGTTTGAATATTGTCACTCCGCAAGCGTTTTTGCCAAATTTTCGACGCGCACTACGCGCAAAAGCATTTAGTTGTTATCAATTGGCACCCGCGCGTTCATCATAAATTTCAAACAGCTATAACTCAGCGAGATTATGTCCGTTCTAGCTCATATTTTCACACTAAATAGAAAATAATGTGATCTTATTGCTGACAAAATATGAATATAATTACTTTATTTGCCTTAGAGTAATAGACTGTCAAAGTTTAAAACGCGCATTGGTATAGCACGTGACTAATAAGGCCAAATTTATACTTCTTAATATATTATCGATCCTTAGACATCATACTATTGTGTCCAATTAGCGGTTAGGTCTCTAAACTCGTAGCAGAAAACACGTCTTTTTGCCCGTAAGAGCCTCTACTAGAGGCCCAGTAGCGCATCTTGCTACAATATTAATACATATACTATCAGCAATGCAATGACCCTATATAAAATTAAACCGTCTTATATACCAGTGAACCCTTGCAAATCTAGAATATTTCCATATCTAAAATCACACATAATCTTTTGCGCGGCTGTAATTGGTTCTGAACGATGACGTGAATGCAAGTCACGTGCGCTCTAGCATCCAATGAGCATGCGCACTTTTTTTCATGGGGCGATGGACATGGAAGTCGTAATTCACTCAGCCCGAATAAAGATTCGGTGGAATGACAAGCTGAGCGCCTCCCAGTAACTCTTAATTCAGGTCTAAATTGTATCACGTGGTGACCCCCACAGTCGTGGTGACCCCCACGGTCTTCGACGCTACAGGGGGAGCCACGCACTTCGTGCGCGGCGGGTCATACAACGTATGACAAGGTCTAAACCTATGTATCATGTATGAACAACAAATTTTTGTGCACCTCTGTCTCCTCGGAAAGAAATCACTGAAGTTGATTTAAGGAATAGGTATGATAAATAAGAAAACATTAACAAACCATTTTTAGCACGTCATTGTATGAAAAATTATTTAAATTATAATCTACAAGACTCTAGAAACGCTGTTGCAAATTAAAATTGTTGCTACTTTGAGTTACCTATCTTGCTGATTTACAAATTATTTTTAGGCGATAGTTTGGAAAGAAAGCCGCGCGCGCGGAGTAGTTTAACAGCATTTTCTGCTCATTACATGCACTCGATACGTTGAAATACTACTACACTTTTCTAAAATAGATTTAAAGTGATTGAATATTATAAAATGAGTAAACTATTTTCCCAGCCGTTTCGCGCACGCAAAAAAGTATACAGTGTATGTCAATTAAAATAGCAAAAACTGATTTAATTGGCCAAAAAAGTCAATGAAACAATAAATAAATTAACCTAAATTAGAAACGCCTCTCAAGATTGTACATTGTATAAAAATATAATGATCCCTTTTTGCGTTGAAGATTTTTTTTTTTCTTAATTTTATAAAGAAAAAAATGCATATTTATCCAATACAAATATGTAATTTGCAATAAAAATAATAATGTAATGTAATGATAATAATGGCCAAAAATGATGTACAAATAAAGATGAGACGAGCCGCGCGTATTTTCGCAGATTTACACCGTAGTATAAAAATCGAGCGCTAACGCAAATATTGTCTTGATACACGAAGATATCTTACGAGTTATTTTGTGTTATTGTTTATTGTTGTAAGATTTTTGTTTTTGCTTAATCTGTTTCCTATTGATACTTCCATGTACCCTGAATGATTTGGGGCTCAACTAATCTGTGTTAGAGGAACAAATTTTTTAGAGAAACAAATTTGAATTTTGATCTTTATTACAGATTAAACATATCATATATAACCATAAAAGCCGCGCGTCGGCTGATTGCTTCAACTTGGATTGGTAGTAATTTCAGTTTACAGAAGCTGAAGGACGGCAGCTCAAAAGCCCCAGTGAACCATCGGAAAGATCAAGGACTCGAGTGCCAATAGTGGCTTTTTCGAACCCATTTTCGCCGATTTGCTGTGGCCCAGATGAGCCGCGCCCTGCTGCTTAACGGCACATGGTGGTTTTTGTTTAAATACTTATTTAAATTTAAGCGATAATTCATTTGGTGGTTTACAGTTTTTGAATCATGTTCATCATTTATTTTTCGTTCAATTATCACGTTTTTACAATTCAGTCATACCATGCATAGTCAACATTGTTGAGGCAACCAGCTTCCGCAGTTCAATAATTGGAGACCGAAAAATATAAATTGATCGAAATTTACAATTCATCGTTATCAAATATAGTCAATAATATTCTTGATTCCATTTAGTACATAATAAGTTGGTTTTATTCTCTTGCAACACTACTGCACAACAAAAACTGCGCCTGTCCACCAGCAACAGCGCAGTCATAGGTGTGCAGCCAAAGCTAGGCCACACACCCATGGCCGCGCCGGTTAAACAACTCTATATTCAATCGTTATATTAGGAAATTTTAGTTAATTCTTTGATCACTCTTCAGTGCCGGTGGGCAGGCGCCCCGCATAGTTGGCTTTCCAAATTTAC